TTTGAGCAGTATTTTGTCAAAGAGCTTACAGAGACATGATGTGAGAGTAATACCTCTATAATTTCGAGGATCAGATTTTTCATTCTTCACCTTATAAAATGCTATGACCATGCCAAGTCTATAATCATAGGGTACATATTGTAGTTTAATCATATGATTAAAAAGTATACATAAGGAATAAATAAGATGTTCTCCTGCATAAATAATATGTTCATTTGTAATCTTATCCGGACCTGGGGATTTATTCCTGCTGAGGGCCTCTCTTATCTCTTGACATGTAAATTATTTTTCCAATTCCTCATCAGGCCTCTCTCGTACTTGTTTAGATATCTACCTTACTAGTTATATCTTCTTTAAATCCATCATCAAATCCTTCGGTATGGTAGGGCTTGGCTAAATCTGAAAAATATTTACTCAATAATATGCAAATAGCTGAGGGTGTACAGTTTTATAGGTGAGGTGAGGTGAAATTGGGTTTAACGTCGCGTCCAAGATTATTGCACTTATATAGCGACGTGCATGCACGTGTATGTGTGTGTGTGGCTGCTTGTACTAGTCCGGACTGATGCCGATTTATAGTGCTAGCTCACTGAGATACCATGCCGCAGTTTAACATGAATACCCCACTCAGACACAGTATACTGACTCCGAGCCGACCAGTCCTTGTTTTAGCCCCTTAATGCCGAGCGCCAGACAGGGTAACAACAAGTACATTCTTTTAACGTCTTTTTGTATGACGCGGCCCGGGATCGAACCCTGGACCTTCCTCTCTCCGGGCAGACGCTCTACCACAAGACCACGGAGGCGGTCGTACAGTTTTATAAAAAAGAAGAAGTTGATATCAAGTTCAGCTGACAACTCAATTTCCCTTATGGTATTTTTTTTGTTGGTCCTTTTCTATTTTCGATAGAGGCGCCTGGAGTGTCTCTTTTCACTTTTATAAGAGATGCGCGAATCTTCGTTTTCGTCCCTTGGTTTACCGTTTTTTAGCCATGCACGTCGAGCAGCCCTCATACGGTAATGTGCATCATTTAGTCCATCAGGTTTCAAGAATGGTTTAAGATAAGGTTTATATTCACATTTAGGGATACATTTGGAACTTGCAAGTGAAAGGCTTTTACTTATATGGTCGCTGTATGTGTCAACATTTTCAGGCTGACAAGACAGATTACAGTCGTGAAAGGAGTTAAGATATGTATCAAATTCACATTGAATATAACATCTTGACTTGCTTTGTTCCATTTTGGAACAGGGGGCTCTCAATGACATAGATAATAGACATGGGAGGTGATCTGACACCGTATAAGGGCATGTATCTATAACATGGAGATCGGTAACATGGTCTTTCATCCACGAGGGTACCAGGATATAGTCAATCATACTCTTTAAGGTGTTATCCTTGGATCTACATGTATAACGTGGGGAATGGGATGCGAGCTCACTATTGGTGTGTAGGAGATGTCTATCAGATATAGAAGTGCTAACTAGGTTTTCCTGGGCAGAGAGATTGTGCTTACAAATATCTGCATAAAGATCACCAAGGATAAAAGTAACATCCTGTTCACAGATATCATCATACATATCTTTGAGTTCGTTAAGGGCGTCACAATACACAGAATGTAGTAGATTAGTTGAACAAATAATGACGTATGCATGTTTTTAGAGTTAACATTCAAATACATGATATCTGTATCAGCGATATTGTGTACGTTCGACCGTAGAGCAAACGTTGCCCTTACTATCTCGTAGTATATATATCTGCAAGATACTGTATTTCTGAAAACATCACGATACAGCTTTTACGATGTTTGGGTGTTTCAGTAGTTTAAATTGCTGCTCTTGATATTGTTGATTAAAATTTGATACTATGAACAATAAAAATTTATATGAGAGGATGACTCTATAACGGTAACAGGTGTCTGATATATCGAACTTTAATGTTGGGGATGAATTGGAATACACTCGCATGAACTCGTATGATTAACTATAAATAATGATATACATATATTTTAGATGACATAAATAGAAGAATGAGTTGTACTTCCAGCATCTAATATGTGAAGGAAACATTATAAATTTAAATTATAAAAAACGGATTAGGGTTGTCCCGGGTTGTCGCATTGCTTAGATAAAGTGCTAAAACTGTTTCCGACCTCGTCCATATTCGAATCACTAAATTGTTTGTTTGAACCAACGCCGTCAAAAGTAAGGAAACGCTTGCGAGACATCGCCACTAGGAAATTGACGTGTCCCAGAACGTCCCGGTATGTTCTAAACCCATTTCAGGCGTCGTCCACATTCGAATCCGCATATGGTTTGCTTGTATCAACGCCGCCAAACGTAAGGATCCGCTTGCGAGACATCACCACATGTGTCCAAGTGTGTTCTTAACCCATGTTTCACTTCGACCATGTTCGTATCCTCAAATGGTTTGCTTGTACCAACGCCGTCAAATGTAAGCACTGGTTCCGGACATCGCCGCTACGACATTTTGCATGTGTCCACGGCTGTTCTAAACCTATCCTCATGTTCGAATCCTCAAAGGGTTTGCTTGTACCGTCAAAAGATATTCACCGTTTGCAGGACAATTCTAAACATCATATTCAAGGGTAGTATACAAAATGCAGAAGACATTTGCAACAAGACAAGACTGCCTATTGCTTTTGAGTCTCAGGAAAGACAGTGAAAGGGAGATAATCCTAGATTTCAGAGCTCTTCATTCAGTATTTTGTACTCAGATGATGGTTTTTGCCTAAAATCAAATATTACCACCAAGCGGTGGTACTTTCACCATGCAAACCAGGACAAAAATGAGGTACATTTGGTACACTAACTTCATGTAAACTTACAAGGTATCATCTATAAAGTACAATTAAACAGACAATATGATCAAAATCAAATATGGCCGTAACTAAAAAAGATATCAACAGGATTATGTGTTATGTATGGAGACAATTCTCAGAAAGTTTGAAAGCATTTCATGCAGTGTATTCATAGGAGTTTGCGTTTGAAAAGACACTGTACTGTGTACCCAAAAGACACTGTGAAAACTTTGAATTCAATATGGCTGCCAAACCACGTGACCAATGACCAAAGTCAAAGAGTATTAAATGTGAAGCACCTAAAGGAGCAGACACAGTCTGAAAGTAATCGGACAAGCGATCGCCGAGCAATAGGGCAAAATATACCTTCAAAAAATACTTGTGTTTTAGTTATCTGCCCTTGGTCGTGGTGCCTATGGCCTTGGGATTTTCCGTGCTATCTAGAACTCCACTATCTACATGCACATGCAAAATTTTAACGCAATCGAGCCAGTGTTTACTTTGCTAGCTCTGGTACAGAAATCGACGGAATAATAATAAATAATAAATCGACCGATTACAAAAGGGTTCTTGCCTTTCAGGCAGGGAGCCCTAATAAGAAATCGTTATTTTTGCGATTTGGGCTGTTTTGACCCTTGGATCGGGTAGCAGGACTAAAAACATATTCTAAAATTCAAGTTCATCGAGGTCACGGGGTCAAGGTCATTTAGGTAGTCCGTTAAACGAAAATGTACTTTTTTTGCCGAGCTCAGACGCGACCGTCGTTGCCTGTATGGTGGAAGCGATTGTTTCAGATACTTTACCCCGACCTAATAATAATGATAATAATAATAATAATAATGCTGCACACATATATTTACCTGATGATCCTCTTCTGAAGCATGTCAACGATGTGGGACATAATCTCAATGTCGGTATTTTGTTGGTGGTTCTGTACTGCTGGACGGTACAGAAATGAGTGTCAACCAAGCGAAGTGCCATATCAAGTCGGCCCAGACTCAGTTTTGAAAGGAGAGGCTATCTGAACGACCACTGCATCAAGTTCATGTGCTGTGTGATCCTTCGCTTGGATAAAGTCGTCTGTCCTGAAAAGTGAAACAGAAGGTTTTCTGTTTGCTGCTCAGGACCAGTCACTTCCAACTCGAAACCGTCAAAATGTAAAAATGAAATGTAGATTATGTAATGAATTTAATGAGACTATCCAACACATTGTCAGTGGTTGCCCGGCTTTAACACAAACACAGTATCTTAAACGACATGATGGGGTAGCTCGATCATTTTATTACCGTCTTCGCTATGCTTGTGGTTTTTACACAGAGGTCCACCCATGGTACGACCCTGAATATGTTGGGGGCGTCATGAAAAATGATAAATACAAAATTCTTTGGAATAGCCCCATTTACAGCCAGGATCTTTTCCTTTTTTTATGAATCCAATGAAATTAGTTATAATCATTGATTTTTCTGTCCCCTTTGACACTTATGTGATTGACAAGATTGAGGAAAAACATGGCAAATATGCGGACCTCGCTTTCGAAATGTCACGCTTGCATTCCAAGTACCAAGTTGTCCGACTCCCCATTGTTCTCTTTGCCTTAGGTGTAATATCTGTAATTGAAACACAGTAGTTTTAAACTAGCTAGTGTATAATATTATGATAGGCCAACAGATAACCGGTCTTGTAATGTGATTAGTAGCAGGTAAGCGCAATCACGTGCTGTTATGTAAGATGTGACAGTCTTGAATGAACGGCCGGTCAAGTGGCAGGCTCGTCTCCCTATTCCTGCGTATGTCGTTCCTCCCTGAGAACCCAACATTAGGTTTGGTACCTCCCAATCTGTTGACTGACATTGGGAGAGTACCCGGGTTTGCTACCAGGAATACAGCCCTTCTGACAATCTGGGTAATGCAGAAAGTTGCAGTGTTGGGGAGTCTTCATATTCTCCGAAAAGTTCAGGGTGGGTTTGACTAGGCAGCGCTTCCTGGGAGAAGTCCCATTCGCTGTCTGGGATGCGTGGAGAGGGACAAGGGCCCTGAGCTGATGATGACCCTAACCAGCCTGACTGTGCCAGGATCACACAAACCTTTCAGGCAGGGAGCCATGATTACATTTCCCCTTCGGTTCTATAGTTCGATTTAGATAACATTTACCATTATCAATAGTGGCGCAACACACGACTGCTTGTCAACAAATGCTTTAAGAGCGCAGCTGAGCATGAAAAGATGTATCGTCCAGTGCATTCAAATTGATATGCATGGTCTATCTAGGTCATGTCATGTTAAGAACAGGTTCTTTACAGTCACGAGGTTGTCCAATACACCGATCAAGAATACCTTGTAAACCAAGACAGGAAGGTGCGAATGAAACGTCGCATGATCGATCTATCAGAGTCTGGAACATTATTCCTAAACATACTTCCTATATTTGGGACTGCAGCCTCAAGCATAGTAAGGTAAGTTATCCATATCAATTCTTATACATAGAGTAAATACAACGCTCGACCCATAACACATTGAACTGACACGACCTGATATAACTGGAATACTGTTCACTCACTAACATACTAATCACTTATGTGTCTCGATAATCCGTCGATACTGATGTCTGTGGGTGTAAACGGCAAAATAGTGGGGAAAATGACATGAGCTTTTTCCATCACCTTCAATCTTGCCCTTCTGACAATCTGGGTAATGCAGAGGGCTGCAGTGTTTGGGAGTGTTCACATTCTCCGAAGAGTTATGGGCGGGTTTGACTAGACAGCGCTGGGACGAGACCCATTCGCTGTCTGGGATGGGTGTAGAGAGGAGGCAAGGGCCCTGAGCTGATGATGAGCCTAACCAGCCTGACTGTGCCAGGATCACCCAAACCCTGTTTGCTCTATTTTTTCAATTATTTGAATCTGTAACTACTACTACTACTGCTATTACTAATACTAATACTAAATTCTAATACTACTATTACTAGAAGTAGTAGTACTACTACTACAACTCGACTGCCTCACAGTACTGACGTTGTATTTAAATTCGAGCTGGCATCACACACAATTTAATTCTATGTTTGCTATACTAGCGGAAAAATGTTTCCGTGCATCACTGACTTTCAAGGGAAATAGGAAATGCGAAGAACAATTCTGCACCAGAAGACTATATTGATGTCCATGAAACATGAATTCATCACCACAATATCCTCTGTAAACGTCATATCAAGATGAAAGTGGAGTGGGGTCAGTCAGTTCACAAGTCAGTGTCGGGTATGACAACCATTCGCAAGGACATTAGCTTGACGATGTTGCAACAGGACAATATCTTTATGCCTGTGAATTATGACTTCATCACTACAGTGTCAACACATGTCCTCTGTAAACGTCATTTCAGGCTGAAAGTGGAGTAGGGTCAATTGTCAGTTCAGAAGTCAGTGTGGGGCACGACAACAATTGTCAGTGACACAGGCTTGACGAAGGCGTCTTATTGACGACATGAGATGGTTGGGGAAGGCTTGTGGAGTGTCATTTGAGATCTGGAACAACGTTGCTGGCTGATTTGGAAGACGGCGTAAACGACGTTTCCCACATGTTGGATGGGCAACAGATCTGGCAGAACAGTGTTTGGATGGCCAAAGGATTGTGGGGTGTCATTTGAGATCTGGAACACCGTCACCGGCTGGTTTGGAAGACGGCGTAAACGACGTTTCCCACAAGTTGGATGGGCAACAGATCTGGCAGAACAGTGTTGGGATGGCCAAAGGATAGTGGGGTGTCATTTGAGATCTGGAACACCGTCACCGGCTGGTTTGGAAGACGGCGTAAACGACGTTTCCCACAAGTTGGATGGGCAACAGATCTGGCAGAACAGTGTTGGGATGGCCAAAGGATAGTGGGGTGTCATTTGAGATCTGGAACACCGTCACCGGCTGGTTTGGAAGACGGCGTAAACGACGTTTCCCACAAGTTGGATGGGCAACAGATCTGGCAGAACAGTGATGGGATGGCCAAAGGATAGTGGGGATGTCCTATTGTCTACTGTAGACTGTGGCCGAACGTGCAACACAAGGACATGCGTTGTCCTGATGTAAAGTGATGTGACGTCCATGTAGGAACGGGAGGACGTGATGACAGATAACTTCGTCATGGTACCGTACACCTGTCTAACTGCCATCGATGACCACTAGAGGAACCATGTGATGTGCAGTGATGCTTCCCCACATCATGACGCTCCCATCACCTAATGCAGAACGTTGAGCGCGTCAACGTAACGCTCCATCCAACGTCGATAAACACGCTGACGGCCATGACAAGATAAAACCTGGACTCATCTGTGAGGAGCACTTACCTCCAGTCCTGTAGCCTGAATCTCAGATGACTTGACCGTGCTGTTAGACGACGTGGCAAAAGATGTGGAAATACAGCTGGACGGCGTGATCGGATGTATGCTCTTGTAATGAATTCCTCACAGTATTTGCACGAAGTTAGAAAAGTTGCGTGCCAGTGTCTGAAGCTCAGCAGAGAAAAATTTAAACTGAAAGCCTTAAGGGTCAGCACATATAAAAAATGTAGGCCCATTGGAAAACCTGTAGGCCCAAACATTTTAGCTAAAGCAGGTAGACATACTCTAGCAATATAAATTACAAAACACAACCAGTCAACCAGAAGCTTTTACTGCTATCACACCGAGATAAATGATAACCGATAAATGAAACCTACATTTATCAGGAAATTATCAACTTGAAACACATCATAGGTTTCTGGCGTGCCCAAGGGACGCAACTCTGCACAGCGAATGGCGCGGCTTCAGACGACTGGGCCAGCCGTGACCCCAGATGACTGCATGGTATATAGTACTTTAACGATGTTTTAATTAATCAAGAAACAAAGGTGGTACATAACTATCATTCATAACAGCTATACAAAACTTCAAAACCAGTGCTGGTATGTACATGTGCATCTCCGTGGTACACCTGCCTTGTTGAGCCGCGACTCAAGAGGGTTAATGATACATGTATCATGCGCACAGGCCGTATCTGTTTGGCAATTACTGTCTCAATATTTCACTGAATTCCAATTGATGTCTAGCGATGCATCAGGTACGTTTCAGTCAATGATTTGAACATGACGTTTTTTTTGACATTTCTACTGAACAACCTGCTGCGCGCGTCATGCAACAAGCATTTACCTTTTTATACAGATTTTTTAAGTGGCGGCTGCTACCGCTAGAGCAGGACATGCTGACCTTTTTCGTGATGTTCAGTAATCCATGCATTTATTTTTCACTGCTAGCTTTCCTTTTACACAATCTGAATCTGAATCTTGTTTCGTTTCGAGATTGTTTTGCGTACACCTGGTGTCATCACTGATTTTCAATTATCTTTTCTTCCCACAGCTATTTTGCCTTTACGCCAAATGAAATCTACTTCGGTGATACTCGAGTTAATCCCTGGCGTTAACGTTTGTACTTAGTCTTTCCTTTAATTCATGATTTCTGTGATTTAAATGCCTAAACCTTTTATATTTGGAGAACCGTTGGTGTTTTCCCCTCATCATTAATATTATCGGGGGCGGTCGGGTAGCCTAGTGGTTAAAGCGTTCGTTCGTCACTCCGAAGACCCGGGTTTGATTCCCGACATGGGTACAATGCGTGAAGCCCATTTCTGGTGTCCCCCGCCGTGACGTGATATTGCAGGAATATTGCTAAACGCGGCGTAAAACCATACTCACTCACTCGCTTATATTATCCTTTCCCTATCGTGTCGGCATGTACTGTTATTATGGCATGCTAACTGTATATCATTGCTAACGTCATACCTTCACGCCGAATGAAATCAGTTTCGATGATACTCGAGGCTAGTTCATCTCTGGCGTTGACGTTTGTACTTAATCTTTCCTATAGTTTATGATTTCTGTGATTTAAATTCGTAAACATGTTCTGGACGGAGACTCGATGGTGTTTTCCCCTCATCATTAACTTGATCTTTTCCCTATTGTGCCTGCATGAACTGTTATTTGTTTTAGTTTGTTTGTTTGTTGTTTAACGCCGCACTCAGAAATATTCCAGTTATATGACGGCCGTCTGTAAATGTTCGTGTCTGGACCAGACAATCCAGTGATTGACAACATGAGCATCAATCCACGCAGACCATGTGCAGTTGAAAACGTCACACGTACAGGCCCTTACCTACACGTAGTGTCCCTGTGTAGCAGTATGAACGTCACACTTATCTACACGTAGCGTCCCTGTGTAGCGGTGAAAGTCCCACTTATCTACAGGTGCAGTTAATTATAAGTTGTCATTTTGTAAACACTTTTTCATGATAAAAGAAATTATGTTGCAGAATTAGGATACACTTATCTACACGTGGCGTCTCTGTGCAGCAGTATGAACGTCACACAGAAGCTATCATTCATAAAATCTATACAAAACTTCCAAGCAAGTTCTCTTATGCAACTCCATGGCAGTTGAAAATAGTTCTCACCTATCAGGCCTTATTTAGATTCACATACACTGAGCCAGTAGTTTGCCTGTCATGTGTTCTTGACAGCCTGCAAAGAAGCCCGAAAATGAAAACAAGTTCAACAAGTTCTTGAGAGTGGAATTGTCATAATATACACACATGTCTTGTTGAAGGACAATCAGTTATAAGTATATGACTCAAAAGTATAAAGATTAATAACAAATTACCAATTATTCTGTGCACAAGCCACATCTGTTCGTTTCGGAATAACCTTTTGAATGTTCCACTGAGTGTCACATGACCAACGATGCATCAAGTACGGTTCAATCAATGTTTTGAACAAGTTTTTTCTGACATCTTATTTGTCTGAACAACCTGTTGACGTGGTGAAATTGTTAGTACTGCTGAGCGCATCAGGCAATACACATTTAACTTTTGATGCAAATTGTGTGAGTGGCGGTGCTTCAGGGGGAGCAGGATATGTTTACCCTTTTGCGAACACCTGGTGTCATCACTATTTTCAATGATCTTTTTCTTATAAATCCCAACGCTGTTTTGCCTTTCACGCCGAATGAAATCAGTTTCGATGATACTCGAGGCTAGTTCATCTCTGGCGTTGACGTTTGTACTTAATATTGCCTATAGTTTATGATTTCTGTGATTTAAATTCGTAAACATGTTCTGGACGGAGACTCGATGGTGTTTTCCCCTCATCATTAACTTTATCTTTTCCCTATTGTGCCTGCATGAACTGTTATTTGTTTTAGTTTGTTTGTTTGTTGTTTAACGCCGCACTCAGAAATATTCCAGTTATATGAAGGCCGTCTGTAAATGTTCGTGTCTGGACAGTGATTGACAACATGAGCATCAATCCACGCGAGCCTGACCACCCGATCCCGTAATCTACACGTGCAGCCCATGTGTAGTGGTGTGAATGTCACATTTATCTTCACGTGCAGTCTCCGTGTAGCAGTACGAACGTCACATTTATCTGCCCGTGACGTCCCTGTGTAGCGGTGTGAAAGTCACACTTATCTACACGTGCAGTCCCTTTGTAGCAGTATGAACGTCACACTTATCTACACGTACAGTCCCTGTGTAGCGGTATGAACGTCACACTTATCTACACGTGCAGTCCCTTGTGTGAACGTCACACTTATCTACACGTGCAGTCCATGTGTAGCGGTATGAACGTCACACTTATCTACATGTGCAGTCCATGTGTAGCGGTATGAACGTCACATTTATCTACACGTGCAGCCCCTGGGTACAATGTTTTGTCACTATGTCTTTATGCACAGATCTACATATGAAACAGATGAGGTGTTTTGGTATTTCATATAGCGCATGGGAGTGTATCAGTGGAATGGAATTAACTATTGACTCACAATTGAACGCTGTCAGATCATCTTTAAACCTGTTAAACGTCTTGGCCAAAATCCGTGTGTCGATGTTGCCAATCCGAGCAGAATTCCCGATGCATACGCATAAAAACAGATAAGCATAGAGCTGATCACAGTTCTTGCACATGGGGACGTGTGCTTCTTGCCTAAATCTACTGTCCGCAAATTTTACATAAAAGCTTCTTTTTTTTTAGCAAGTCCGGCAATTTATATACTAGTATTGGTGTTCAGTAAACTTTAGATAACATTTACTTACATTTATGTAAAATTGACGTTTTGAATAAATTTTGTAGTGTTGGATAGTGTCAGCCATATCGTGACGAGTTGGATAGTGGTGAATAGAGTTAAAACATCACAGGTTTCTACAGAATTGAACTTGGTTCTTTTCTGAGAAAAATTGTCGTTATCCAATCCGTATTTCATTTGTGACATACAGCGGAACCACATCCGACACGTTACGGAACACACAATGAGTGAATGGCTGCGGATTCAAGTGTACAATCACCGGTAATTAGCAGTTAAATCAGACGCACACATATAATCATGGCTCATTATAGAGATGGGGCGAATCTGTTGTGTCAGTTTCACAGAACAGTCGTTACACAATGCGACTGAAAAGTTTGAAAACTAAGACTGGAACTGACGAATGAAACGTAATTTCAATTCATTTTTAGTGATACTTAAACTTTGTTCATGATGTGGTGTGAAATACGCATAATGTTGGAGAGGGCACGTAAAATCTCCAAAATCACCATCATATAGTCGGAATCGTACAATCGATTCTGCTTCTTGTGAACGGAGAGGACGACCTACATTTGGGGCATCAACCTCAAGCATGACCAGGTAAGTTAACCATATCCATTATTTAGCACAATAAAAGGAATTAGCACTTAGGGAATAAATCAAGGACTGGTCGCGTTGGGTATCCATGGTACCTCCTTGGACTATCGTCATAAAAACGGTATTTGAACTTGGACAAGCAACCAAACACACACACACAGCCACACACAGCAACACACAGCCACATGCACGCACACAACCACATATATACACACAGAGGTACATGCACACAAACACGCACGCATATATACGTTCAGACACACACGCACGTGCGCACATGCACACAAACACACATAGACACAGACACACACAGCCACACAAACACATATACACACATATATGCGAGGGGCGTTCAATACGTTTTGCAACTTCAATATGAGACCAAGTCGCAGAATATCTTTTGCACTTCACATCAATACACTTATTCCATTTGTCCTTCAACCTTTTAATACCACTTGTATAGAAATCCGCAGATTGGCCCCACAACCACGCCTCTGTGGCAGCCTTTATGTCCTCGTCATCCTGGAAGCGCCTTCTACGTAGGGCAGATGTCATTTGCCGGAAAAGGAAATAGTCACTGGGAGCTAAGTCTGGGCTGTAGGGTGGGTGATTTAACTGTTCGAATCCACAATCACATATGGCGGCCTTCGCGTTTCTCGAATTGTGAACCGAAGCGTTGTCAAGTAGAATACCACGTGTTAACATCCCACGGCGTTTTGGAAGAATAGATTTTCGCAATTCCTTCATTACAATATCATAATACTGTCCATTGATTGTAGTTTTTTGTGGTATGTAATCAATCAGTAATATGCCACTTGCATCCCAAAATATGGTGGCCAGGACCTTGCCGGCCGATGGTTGAGTGCAAAACGTCCTCGGAGGCGGAGAATTTGGGTGCTTCCATTGCATGGATTCCAATTTCGTTTCTGGGTCCCAGTGGTGGATCCAAGTTTCATCACCTGTCACTAGGCGAGAAAGAAATTCGGCTTCATCAGCAGTATAGAGATCCAGGAGGTCTTTCAGTTCTCTGATGGCGATCTTGAGCTCTGAGGTTTCTAGATACCTTGGATATTCCAAGATGCTCATGAATAATGGTTCCAACAGTTCCAACAGATATTTGGAATTCCCTAGAAATTTCAGATACTTTCACTCATCGGTCAGACAAAATTACTCTTTCTATAGCAGCAATGGTTTCCGGTTGGGTGGATCTGAAGGCCTGCCTGACCTTGGGTCATCGTCTATTATCTCCCTACCCCTTTTAAACTGTCGAGACCAACGGCAAACTGTGGAATAGTGAGGGGCATCCTTACCCATCAATTTACACATGTCATCATGGATTTCTTTTTCTATGTATCCCTCCTTGGTGAGGAACTAAATTACAGAACGTTAGTCATGTTTGAGAGAATCCATGATTGTGACCACCAATGTGTGAATGAAGCTATCACATCTAACATATTGTTGTGTCTGGAACTTGTTATGACACGTGCCATTCCGATGTTATGACTAGTGTCACACCTGCCACAAATTGACATTGTTTGTGTAAACACAAATGCCCAAGTTACAAAACGTATCGAACGCCCCTCGTACATACACACGCACGCACATAACACAGACACACAAAAGACACAAAATCAGGGTGAATTTGGTATCCACGTTTTAACAAAACCAACACATATAATGTTGCCTATTCACCTTCACTGATTGGTTTTTTCACATGATATCAATATGTTATTTGTTACGCAGCATTCATTGGAAGCCCTTCGTCACAATAATGAGAAACCTTCATTTGGTAAATAAAATGCAAGTAGATAATGTACTCGTTCTTCAGTTTCTAGTCTGAACACGACGTCAAGATGACAGTCAACATCCCCGGGCTAATCTCCGTCATCATCTTCTACATCATCATCCTCGTCGTAGGCGTTGTTGCTGGGAGAAAGAAAAAATCAAAGACAGTCGTTGGGATCATATTGGCTGATCGAAACATGGGTATTGTCATGTCCTTGTTTACGATAACAGGTAAAAACCATTATCAGTATTTTTAATCAGACAAAAGAGAAAAAAATGTTTGATAGGCATTACTTTGAAGTTGACGGATGACAAAGTAGACACTTTTTATGGATAGCATTGATCGCTTGACAACGGTATACGGATCTATACCGAAACGTCGCCTTTACAGTATTAAAGAATTATTATCCATAAATTGTGTCTATTTTGTCAAAAGAGAAAAACGTCATTACACACACTTCGTTTTGTGTTTCACATACGTTTCTGACGTGTTTCTGAAAACACCAAGATGATAGAGATAGTAGTATACACCCACAACATAGGTATAGCTTTTACAGCGGTATGTTTTCTGGAGGATCTCTGGTTGCACGGGTGGCCCAGTCGCCTAAGGCGCCGCAGTTCGCTGTGCAGCGTTGCCCCCCTGGGGCACGCAAAAACCTATGATTGTTGGTCCGAATCCTCATCGGATCTTGTTTCTATGTTTGTCGGCACCATACCCGAGCTTGTGGGTTTCACCGACGTGGTAAACGTCTGAGACGTTCTTCTGTCTTTCCTCCCACATTAAGCTGACACGTCGTGATATAACTGGAATACTGTTCAAAGCGACGTTTAACCCAACTCACTCACTCACTCACTTGAGGATCCGTGTCCTTGTCCTTTGCTTGAAAAAAATTTCGTCTGAGAATGGTGTTAATATATGGATCAGTCGGTAAACAATTGTCAGGGTTTCTCCTGATCATATACACCTTACTAAAGGTGTTGGCTTTTTGTCTCTAGATTTCTGAAGTGTAGGACTGAACATGTCTAGTCAAAACTTCATCAGCAGTATTCATTCGTGACCAACTCGTGTTATTCCGGGACAAGCCGAATAGCGACTCGTGCCCCTCTCGTGGCCATTTTTGCAACCGGGTTCCGTCTTAGCGCAAACGGGCATACATAAAACAATTGTCAACTCGTTGCGCAATGGTTCACATATATTTCCCCACATATCATTTATATTTCAGTTGTAATTAAAAGCACATCAGGACATGCGAAATTATACAGTATGATTGAACACATTTAACTGTGTCTTGGGTATAATTTTAAATGCAAGACATATGTAAAAGCAGAAATTATTTCTGAGGGATTCTTTGACGAAGAACTTGAAATCATACGCGCATTCTGATTGGTTTGTCGTATTTTCGCACATAACATTCATCGATAGGGGGACGAGTCTTCTTGCAGGTTACGGAAAGGGGTGAGTGGTGACGAATGCAGCAGTATTTTGAGTCGAAGGCGTGAAAAGGTCAAAACTGTGTTCTGTAAGACCACAGATTACATCCAAACAACAATACTGCTAAAACATCAATGTATCCCTGCAATAATCGGGCCATGGCGGGTAGGAACATATAATGTCCAAAAGAAAGGATACCCACTATTTCAAAAAAATATGTTTGTTATAAGTGATTTATTTTATATCATACTTAAACATATCCCACGTACCAGGCCAAATGTTAACGGTGGGAAAAAGCGGGGGAAATGACAATTTGTGTTAAACACACCAAACACCAAAAAGCACACCAAAGAAATGGCACTTTAACTGCGATAGAGAGGGAGAGAGCCGATGGAATGGGAGCAGGGAGCGACGCACGCCGTCATTGCCAGAACGTTTGGATGCGCCCGTGTAACCGTTACCAGGTTGATGCATCGGTTACGTCAGACAGGCCGGACAACGGAATTTGCGGTAACGAGGCTCGTGGTTATTCTTGGTAACATGAATGCAGAGCGATATCGAGATAAAGTTTTGCGATCAGTTGCTGAGCCATACATCCAGCAACAGTCCCGTGGAATCATTTTCCAGCACAACAATGCAACACCGCATACGGCATGGTTTAACGCAGAACTTCCTTAACAACGCGAACATTCAAGTTTTACCACGGCCGTCATGCCCGCTGGACATGAACCCCATTGAACATCTCGGATGGAGAACATCTCGATCGCCAAATCAGAAGTCGCCCAGTGGCTCTGGTCAGCCGCCAGCAACTGGAACAACTGCTCCTTGCCGAATGGGGGGCACGGGTGGCCTAGTCGTCTAAGGCGCCGCGATTCGCTGTGAAGAGTTGCGTCCCTTGGGCACGCCAGAAACCTATGACCCCGGTTCGCCCCGATTATGTTTCTAGGTTAATCAGCACCATACCCGTGCTCGTGGATTTCACCGAAGTGGTAAACGTCTGAGACCTGCATCACTTCGGGCTTTTCCTCCACATTAAGCTGACACGCCGCGATAAAACTGGAATACTGTTAAAAGCGGGGTTAAAGCCAACGCACTCACTCATTCCTTGCCGAATGGCAACGCATTCCCCCCCTCATTTGGCAAATACCGTCCCAACTCCATATATTTTGGACACATTATTAAATCATGGTATTCGTCCTCTATATCAGTTTCACAAAATGAACATAAACGCTGTTCTAGCTGTAATCTGGGTTTAACCCATCCCCCATTTCAATTATGAACATATGTGAACTGAGCCTAAAACGTGTTAGAGCTACTCGGTATTTTACAACATCATTTCCATATCTGCATAATAATATACATCATGAATTCGCTGCTTAAAATTCAGAAAAAATCCAGTTTTATTTATAATAAATTGACCCAGCCAAACATATCCGAAACCAAATTGGTTAAATATACTTCTAACCAAAACGGCACAACGTTCTACATTAGGATGACTTAACATCATTTCAAAAAGAGCTTACAACACAATACTAATATATCTATTTGGATCACACTTTAAGATTTTCATCCAATAATTCTAACTAACCGCACACTTTCCAATGGTAGTACTCCCAATTCACCATAAACATATGCCGATGGTGTAGATAATTTAACACCTGATATCTTTTTAATGAATCTAAGATGGACTATTTCAATTACACGTGTTTCCCTAAAATCCACACCCCACATCAATAACACAATATGGGCTTAATTGATGTATGTAATATCTGGTACTGGATATCAACAGACATATACATGACTATAATAACTCTAAACAATGAAAACAGTTCTGAAAAACTACCAGAGGGTTAAACACAAGACAAAGATATTTGACATTAGTAACTACCTCTAATATATCACCTTTGTAAAACCACCTCTCTCTTTTAGATACTCTTCCTCCGTTGCCTCAATATTTGCTATCAAACCCCACTTACTACAACAATCAGAGAACAAATCAAGGCCTTCCTGTGGTCCATCAACACTTGTACTGAACAAAACCATGTCGTCAGCAAAAAACAACAAAAGTAACCAAATATTAAATAGATAGACACCCAGGTCCTGCAAAGATGATAAATCTTGAGTGATACCATTAAGAAACAAAGACAATAATATTGCCGACAGATTCTCACCCTGCCTTACTCCGATACCAGAACTGAAATACTCCGAATGCGATTCATTCGCCATTTTAACACATGACTTTACTTCAAAACACATACTGCGTAATAAGTTCAACATATTGGGACTTAACCCTGATGAATAAAGTTTATACCAAAGAACTTGTCTGCTTTCATACTCTGTATTCATCGCACCATAATTTGACTCGTGCATTCAGAATACCGGTAAATAGTTTACCGAAACAAGACAAACGTGTTATACCCCTATATTTATCCGGCACAGACTTACTATCCTTCTTGTGAATTAGTATAAGTCCCTTGTTCCACTCAGTGGGGAAACACGCAGTTTTGAAAATAGCATTAAATAAAGCCACTTATGTGGGTAACAATGTCTCGCATCCAAAGTTAAAGAACTCATATATTAAACCATCAACACCTGCGGCTTTATTGGACTTTAGACCTTGAACCGCTAATTTGACCTCCTCCATCAAGCCCCTCAACCCATCTCTCTACATTATTTGACTCAAAATTATGGATTTCGGAGGACACTCCATGTTCAACAAGAGGGATATTATCCGGATTAGCCAATTTACTAAAATAATCCATAAAATAATAGTAACCACCACTATTACTGTTTCCCATAGTGGCGTTAATCTTTTTCCAAATTTGCTAAACATTCGACTTACTAAGACCAGCTAACAACTATGCATCCTGTCTGTGCTTACTTCTACTAGAGACTCTGCATATATGTCTATAACGCGTCCCCTTAATAACCATTATAACTCAATCAGTCTTCACCAGATTCTCTGAACTTAGCTTCAGCCTGTTTAACTCTAACCTTGATTTACGACATTACAACATTAACTAGGTTTACAAATCTATACAAATTACTTCACAGCAATAACAATGGCAGCACACAAGAGAGTGTTAGTACATTATTCAATGACAGTATAAAATGTGAGAGCAGTGGAAATGACAATTACATGAATACTAATCACCTCACCACAACACTTCTGAGATTGACCAAGGCTGAACATCAGGGTAAAAAGTCATCTTCATATGAAAGCTGGTCTTGATGTAAGGAAAGACAATTCACTGATGTCAACTTCTTTATTAAGAGGAACACAAAGTTGTTGTTTGATATTATATGCATATATGCAAGTGCATATTTACATATAAGGGTTTATCAATTCAACTCACTGGCTTTTGGGGCTTACTGTCAGTAAGGTATCCCTTTAAGGTCAGACGTGTTAACCAGGAACATTCCTGGATATCAGGCGACTCCATACTACCCAAAAGGGTACACAGAGAGAGACTTCACTGTAAAAGTAAATATTATTTTGTTTTATGTTGCAGCAACATGGGTCGGCGGAGGTTTCATCAACGGGACTGCAGAAATCGTTGCCAAGAAAGGGTTTGCTTGGATGCAGGCCCCAATTGGCTACTCGCTCTCACTTATCATTGGTAAGCTTAGTCTCCTGACATTTAATCATCAAGCAATTCACATTTGGAAAATAGTGATGATACCAGGTGTTTACGAAAAGGTGAGCATATCCCGCCCCGTCCGTAGCACACATACACAGATATGTCAGCTGTTCACCTGTAAGTCAAAATAGGAATTGCAACGGACATCATTCTGGTCACTGATGCGTCAAATGTGGAAATGTCCATCACAATCCCACCATAAAACCTTTTTTTAAGCTTAACCGAGTCCTTGAATGTTGTGACCTTGATCACAACACTCGACAAAGAGTCATACGACGCTCTTTGAAGTATTTATGGAGAGACCGTGCTCGATTGTACCTCAAACGTGAAATATGGACACCCAAAAGGCTTAGCTGCTGGAATTATTGTTCCACGAGGGAAACTTGACTGTCGGCAAGATGTAGTCATCCTTCTTGCCATGTAGTCTTGTAGAGAGTATTATATCACTATCTTTATGCATATCTCGACATGAAACAAGTTGCACTGGCCTCTTCTATTTCTAGTCCAGGTGGATGAAGTAGCAAAGGCAGGGAGACCATACAAAGATAGACTCCCTGGTGAAAGGGAATTGCACCAATTATCCTGTATTTGTTTCTTACAGGTGGTATTTTCTTTTGTCCCCGTCTTCGTCGAGACAACTGCGTTACAATGTTTGACCCTTTCCAAGACCGCTACGGCCGATTGATGGGCGCTCTCATGTGCATACCTCAGTTCCTGGGAGATCTCTTCTGGACAGCCGCCATTTTGTCCGCCCTTGGTACGTGTGAAGCAATTGCTTTTGTTATTTGATTGCATTCATGCCATTCGATGAGTGCCAGGTGATAGATACACGTTGGTGGCAGGTAAAAATATATATAAAATGGATGGCAGGTAACATACATTTGATGGGTTGCAGGTAATACACATACGATGGGTGGCTAGTACATATACATGTTGGGTGGCGGGTAATATACCTATGTTGGGTGGCAGGGAATATACATACGATTGGTAGCAGGGAATATACCTGCGATGGGTGGCAGGGAATATACATACGTTGGGTGGCAGGTAATATACCTATGCTGGGTGGCAGGTAATATACCTACGATAGGTGGCAGGGATTTACCTACCTTGGGTGTCAGGGAATATACCTATGTTGGGTGGCAGGGAATATACCTACTTTGGGTGGCAGGGAATACACCTACGATGGGTGGCAGGGAATATACATACGATGGGTGGCATGGGCACAATGCGCATTAAATAATGTTATTCTCAGAGTTAGGTGTCTATATATGCTATATCGCCAGAGGTCAACTGCCTCAGTCTAGGGTGGGTAGTCATAAGATACATGTTCTCGTTTCAGGCTCCACGATGGCTATCATCCTTGACCTTGATGAAACACTGGCTGTTATTATTTCTGCCGTCATCAGTGTCTCTTACACCCTAGTTGGCGGCCTCTGGTCTGTCGCCTACACAGACGTTGTCCAGCTCATATGCTTAACTGTAGGCTTGGTAAGACCAGCAACACAGTCATTATTACCCTAAAGAGCTAAAGATTGTTTTCAGCAAATTTGGATAGAAAAACTAAGAAATAGCAAATGTACATATACCTATTCTCTCTTCAAACAACAACTTATACTCGAAGAATATCTAATATCAGTTACAATAAAAAAAACTTCGAGTATCGCCAGCGCAGTTCAGAGCAGGATATTATTATTTAAAGATTTATAAAGGTATATTTAATAAGTCTAACAATATCTGTACATCTTGTAACCTTAATGTTGTAGAAAGTGAGAATCATTTTATGCTTGTGTGTTAACTCTATCGGCAATTAAGAAACAAGTTTATTCAAAAGAAGTTTATATCTTACCCAAATATTAATTTGCTTTGCATACTCATGTCAACCTCAAATATCACTTTATTACAAAATATTGCATTGTACATACCTTGTAAATACGTTGAACAATGGGCCTATGGCCTTCCAGTTTGCAATGAATAAAACAATTTAAACACAGCAAGAACATTGATCTACATATAAATATGATATAACCACACACTTGTATCCATTTCTGTATTGGTCTGTTTCTCCTTCCTGAAGAATTCCGAATCATGTACGTGCTTCCAGATGATGTATTCCGTGCGTTCATCTGGAGCTAATAGCAGATAAATATGTTAATGGACACAAACGAGAACTACTGCGAGTATGAATTTTTAAAATGAACAATTTCAGTGTTGTACCTGAAATGGTGTATCATGTTACATGTACCCATGTATGAGGGTGAGGTTAGATCTTACATGCAGTACAACAATGTCCTTCTAGGTTGTTGCCGCCCCCTTCGTCGTGAACAACCAAGCTGTGGACTTGCATAGGATCCAGGACACGTGGCTAGGGGAAGTGTCTCTGGAGCAGACAGGTTACTTTCTCGACCGTTATGGCCTTCTAATCCTTGGGGGCATAACGTGGCAGGTAGGACTTGTCTAGGGCAGCCAGCTCACATAGTCGCATGTCATTACATATCAACAAAACATATTAAAGTAGCTTCAAATAGGATTTTGGTAAATATAACAAACAATAAATGCGAATAGAATTATAAATCCAACATTACAACCGCATGACTGTCCAACGCCAATTAATACCCACTGGACAGGGCTCCTTGCATAGAACTTCATAGGTGTGATATCTAAGCCTTTAGAGCACAATACTATGACGTTCAAAAATACGTCACAATACTCTAAAAGGAGAGCACGGGTGGCCCAGTCGTGTAAGGCCCAATTCGCTCTCCAGAGTTGTGTCCCTTGGACACGCAAGAAACCTATGATTGTGGGTTCGAATCTTGATTCGCCCCTATTATGTTTCTAGGTTTGTCAGCACCATACCCCTGTCCGTGGGTTACACCGATGTGGTAAACGTCCAAGACCTGCATCACTACGGGATTTCCTCCCACATTAAGCTGACACGCCATGATATAACTGGAAAACTGTTCAAAGCAGCGTTAAACCCAACTCACTCACTCACTCACTCACTCAATACTCGATGACGGAATTTGCAAAAAGGTTTTTGGCAAGATATACCTGCAAATAAAGCCCAACAACAGGGAAGCCGAGCGAGGTTGAGAACACATTCTTTCCCTCGTCACTGACACCTGGTGTCATCAGTGATGTTCATATTATTCAATTCATATTATTATTACAGCATTTTTGCCTTTTATGACCAATAGAAACTGTTTCGGCGGATAATTGAGACTTGTTATTTTCTGGCCTTGACGTTTCATATTCACTTAACTGGATCGATGCTTCTGCTACATTCGTGAGCCAACTCGTGTTATTCCGGGACAAGCCGAATAGCGACTCGTGCCCCTCTCGTGGCCATTTTTGCGACCGGGTTCCGTCTTAGCGCAGACGGGCATACCTAAAACAATTGTCAACTCGTTGCGTAATGGTTCACATTTATTTCCCCATATATTATATATATTTCAGATGCAATTTAAAGCACATCGAGACATGTGGAATTATCCAGTATGATTGAAGACATTTAACTGTGTCTTGGGTATATTTTTAGATGCAAGACTTATGTAAAATAAAAAATATTTCTGAGGGATTCTTTGACGAAGAACTTGAAATCATACGCGCATTCTGATTGGTTTGTCGTATTTTCGCACATAACATTCATCGATAGGGGGACGAGTCTTCTTTCAGGTTACGGAAAGGGCCGAGTGGTGACGAATGGCTTCTGCTAATGCAATAAAGTCCCCGAGTTTCAGCAACTCGTATTTTATCGCTTATGCTGAGTCAACTGAAAAATAAATGTTTGGGCTACTCCCCTGCTGTATTGAAAAATGAACATATTTCTTTTAAACGTTTTTTCACCAGTATCTCTGCACTAGGACACAGGAGGCGTAATTCAAAATTAGTATATCGTTGTAACTACTTTCAACAAAATCAGTAAATGCTTTATCGTCTAACTGGATTTTCCGGTTCATCGTTCACTTGATTGTCTGGTTTGTTTACAGACCGCTGTCAGATGGCAGGAGTACTGCTGTTCGGCTTCAGGCAATAAATGTTTACTTTTTTATGCAAGTTGTGTGAATGGAGTGTGCTCCCAGAAGGGCAGGACATTCGTGCCTTTTTTCAAACCCCTGGTGATAATGTCACAGCTATTTTACCCTTGGAACAAGACAGAATCTGTCTAGGGGGGTGGTCGGGACTGGTTATTCTCTGGTGTTTACGGTTTATATTCAGATATAAAGATGGACTCTCCCTCATGGCGTCAGTAGCACTGCTCAAGCCTTCCTTGTTCAAAGTATGCTTTGGATGATACAACCATTATCAACCAACTCGTGCTATTCAAGGAGATGGACCATGCAAATCTATTGCACTTATTATATAACCTAAGCATAACAAGGCTAATTTCCACTGTTATCAACACTGTGGGCGTAGCTCTTGGTTGTATATAACGGTAGTAAACACAGTCATTGCAGAACCCGATTGGTTGTAATGAAGCCATTAATGCCAATTCTCAATGCACAATATCCCATCCGTGGCCACATTGAAAGAAGGGAACATAAGCTTCAAGTATATCGATGATTTAATATTGTTCAATGATGGTCAAATAGTCAATTTTCTTCCACTGATTTACCCACCTAAACTGAAAAAGCCCAGGGAGACAGGCTGGTCTGTTTGATATTTAGATATATGCATTAAGATTCAGAGTGACAAAACAACTCTCCACAAGAGTTTCCCTTTGTGTTGATCAATATTCCAGCAGCTCCAGCCTTGGATGTCTACATTTCACAACGTTTGAGATACAATCGAGGATGCTCTTTCATCGAAAAAAGAGCGTCAAACTACTAAAACGGATCAACATTCAAGGCCTGGGTGAAAGCTTTCAAAATGTTTTATATGGTTGATGTGTGGATACTATTTCCAAATTCGAGGTATCAGTGACAAAAATTATGTCCCATGCAATTCCCCATTTTGACTTGTACCAAATGTTCCCAGATTTTCTTTCATGTAAACATTTGCCTTGCCTTTGCATGTGTTTGTGATAGTTTCACAAATGGAACAAGATATGCTCATCATTTCGCAATAACCTTGTGTCAACACTATTTGATAGTGACTCATACACACATGCTCATGATATCGTGGAATAAAATAGCTTCTGCTTCTTGCAGAGATTTCTTGTTGCTATGGAAAGAGTTATGTCACCTTTATGGAATACAAAGCTGGTAACACATATTGCCAATGCTGAATCCCATTTGTTTTCTTTAAGACTGGTTACAACATATTCTATACATAATCTGAAATATCCACAATGGTATAGGTGTATATGTTTCAGGTAATTTGACATAATCACTGTAATGAACCAAGGGATTTTATACTTGTTTACTGAAAGTACTTACTTACTTACTTACTTACTTACTTTGGAGATTTAACGTGCGCTTTCCGACTGATGCGTATTTCGCACACGGGCCCGGCCAGGCCATTTAATGTGTTTCCGAAAGGGGCGAAGGTGGTAATATGAAAGTTACTTACTTACTTACTTACTTTGGAGATTTAACGTGCGCTTTCCGACTGATGCGTATTTCGCACACGGGCCCGGCCAGGCCATTTAATGTGTTTCCGAAAGGGGCGAAGGTGGTCTGTGCAACCCAAGAGGGGGGTTTTAGGGGTTGCTTATATAGAATTTGGGAATTTTGAGATTTGGAATAGATGCCGATGGGATTGGGGAGGAGAACTAAGGGAGCTGGGTATGGTGGATGTTTGTTTGTTTATGTGATTTTGATTTGGTAGGTTATTGTGTTTTTAGATGCGTTTTATTAGTTCCGTTTTTATTAAGAATACGCCTAAGGCCTTGAAGTTTTCTAGTTTATTTTGTGGGTTTAGTATTGCTTCTAGAGTTAGAGCCTTGTTTAGATTGAGGGTGGTTTGTAATGCGGTTCGATGTGTTAGGTAGTGTGTGCAGTGGATGAGTGCGTGTTCTGGGGTTTCTGGTTGTTTGCAGTGTGGGCAGTTACCTGTAGTGTGTTTTTTAAATTTTTTTAGGTGGTTATTTAGGTTGGTGTGTCCTGTTTGGAGTTTAGTGATTACTCTGTCGATTTTTTTGGATGGATGGAGAATTTTTGGTTTGGTTAGTGGTTTGCTGAGCACTTTTTTGATTTGGCTATTTGAGTTTAGATATAGGTTATGCCATTTTTTTGTGATTTTTTGCTTGTTTACACTTTTAATTTCTGATTTTGAGATGGGTAAGTTTAAGCTTATTTCTGGGATTTTGAGGGATAGTTTAGCTGCTTTATCTGCGTTTTCATTACCGTATATTCCTACGTGGGCGGGTATCCACAAGAAGGTTATTTGTTTGCCTGCCTTAGTTAGGTCGTTGGAGCTTTTAAGTATTTGATTTATTAATTTAGGTCGGTTTTTGGTATTTTTGTTTTGGAGGGCTTGCAGTCCACTTAGGGAGTCGGTAAGTATTAGGATTTTTTTGTGGTTTTTGGATTCTTGATTATGGAGGGCTGAGGCCATGCCCATTAGTTCTGCCGTGAATATTGATTGGTTGTTTGGGAGTCGGAAAGATTGTGTGGTTTTAGTTGGTTGTGTGGTATGGACTCCGAAACCTGTGTGTTTGGAGGTCGGATCTGAGGATCCGTCCGTGTAAATGTGACACCAATTTGGCCAATTTTCGTGTATGTATGCTAGTGTGGTAGTTTTAGCTATGTTTGGGTCGGTTTGTTTATTTATTTGGCTAGCTAGTGTTGTGTCTATTTTGGGTATGTTAAGTTTAGGGGTGAAGATATTTGATTGTTTGCAGTTTTGTTTAAGATTTTTAATTTGGTGTTCATTTAGGTAGTTTGTTATTCTTTGGGATATTGGGGTAAGTAAGGGGTGTTTACGAGCTAGAGCTTGGTTTTTGGGGCTGATGTTTTGGTTTATTAAGTTTTGGATGAGAGGGTTTGATTGGGACGCGGCCCAGAAATTTAAGCTTAGCTGTTCCCTGCGTAGATTTAGTGGCATTTCTCCTGTTAAGGCCTGAAGTGAGGTGTAGGAGGTGCCATGTTGGGTGCGTGTAATTAGTTTGAGAGCCTGATATTGTATTGAGTCAAGTTTTTTAGATAGAGAGTTGTTTAGGGTGTTGTATATGGCGCAGCCGTAGTCTAGTTTTGATCTAATTAGTGATATGTAGAGAGAGAGGAGGGTATCTTTGGATGCTCCCCAGTTAGAGCCAGTTAGGCATCTTAGGGTGTTTAGGTCTTTACTGCATTTAGTTGTTAGGTTTTGGATGTGAGCATCCCAGGTGAGATGTTCATCGAAAATAAGTCCTAAGAATTTGGTTTGTTTTTGAAATTTGATTGTTTGGTTGTTTAGCTGGAGGCTTGGGGAGGCGGGTTTCATGTTTTTATGTTTGAATACTATTCCTGTTGTTTTTTCTGAGTTAAGGGAGAAGCCCCATTTGTCAGCCCATTGTTGTATTTT